AGGTTTCTAGGCAGTTTGGAAGTGGAAAAGTATGGAAGTCCTCTGACATAAGGATTAAAGAAAAGCAGGTTCTATAGTGAGGAAGGTTAGTTCCAAGAGATGACAGGGGTCTAGACCTCCTGTGGTCTTACAGATAGGGAGGAAACCTTGTGGGACAGGGTAAGAAGGTAGCAGACAGAAGTATGTGTCCGAATTCTAGGTGTCAAGGTAGATATTCAGACTGGAGAGTTTTATGTGACTGTTGAAGCCATGGAAAGAAGGGAGAACAACTAATTTGAATAACGGATAATGTAAAATCTCTGCTGAAACTTAATAACCTTTCCCTTGGGGAAAAACTATATACAAAATTTGGGCATCATTTCAGGGACCTCACATACAACAAACTCCATCCTGCAAATCTAATTAAATGATCTATGGACATTATTAAGAGCCCTTGATTGAAAGAGGAAAGAATGGCAAAGATACCAAAGGAATGGCCTTAACGCATGGATGGGCAGAGGATTTGATGGTCCCGCAACCAGCTGCTATAGCAACATTGACTATTATCTATCACAAACAAAGGAGCAGGGGTGGGCAGTTCAGATGTTGGTTAGGAACCTCACAGCCCACATCAAAATGTCAAGCTCAATTCTGAGCTCTAGTTCCTGATTCTAATTTTCTGCTAAGGCAGACCCTGGGAGGCAGTGAAGATGTCTCATGTGGTTGAGTTACCTGAGTGGGAGAACTAAATTGGGTTCCTGTCTTCAGCTTGTCCATCCTGATAAGTAGAGAGTGAGCCAGGAAATGGAAATTATCTCTTTTTGTCTACTATATGAAGGGAGTGGAGGGCAGAAAGGATTGTGGTATGAGAACTGGGACTGGAATTCTGGTGTATCAGGTTAAGCCACTGTGTGCAACACCAGCATCCAGTATGAGCACCAGTTCAAATCCCATCTACGTCACTTCTGATCCAGCTTGCTGCTAATGCGTCCTAGAAATCAGGGGGAAACAGCTGGAGTGCTTGTTCCCTGCCACCCAGGTGGCAGACCTGAATGGAGTTGCAGGCTCCTGCATACAAACATTTGGAGAGTGAATCAGTGGCTGCATGATCTCTCCCTCTTTGCCTCTCCGTCTGTCTGTAACTGTCTTTTAAAGAAAAAAGAGAGAAAGAGAGAGGACTTCATTGTGGCGATCTGAGGTACTTGCATGACATCTGGGAGACAGCACATGGCAGAGGAAAAAAGATGAGGACCATCAGATTTGGTAGATGCTTGGGAATGACTCGTTGTTGAGGCAGGAGCAAAAGCCCCACAGAGCGTGCAGGTGGGCCTAGAAACAGCATCCTATGCAGGTGGAAGTCTGAGTTCTCAGGAAACTCAAGAGGAAGCATCTGGCTGAGAATACACAGGCCTTTTCCTTTAAGAACACACTTGGCAGGGTTTAGTTCTGGAATGAATTCATAACCTCTGGTTCTTCTGGTGACATACACTGTGGACTTCAGATGGGAAGATTCACTTGAAGATGTGTTTAGTATTATCTATGTATACTATTTGCATATAAAACACATACCTACACAGCAATATAATTATGCACTTACAGAAAAGTATATATTTATAACATGTTTACATATTCATGTACAACACAAGTCTCTACCACTCCCATGTCAAATTTAAGGCCAATAATGTCCAATGACTCTTGCTGTATATGGAACACAAGGGGCTCAACTGTCAAGGATGAAGAAATAGAGAAATACAGATAGGCTCAGATAGTCCTCATATAACCTCAGAGAGATCATAAAAGCTACCCAGCATATGCCAACAAGCTTAACTACTGCTGTCGACTGGGAACTTAAGGGAAAATGAACTTGTACACTGTCTCCAGAAACAATTTGGAAAGATCTGATTTTTCTTCTTTGAAGTTACCATATTCCACATCGCAAAATCAAATCAACAGCAATTTATTGGTAATGTTCCATGGGTAGTGCCCAAAGTGGATGTTCTGTGAAAGCTAAAGAAGCAGAAGGCCTGATCTTGACCTCAAGTAACTTATAGGTAAGTCATAAAGCACAGGCAAAGATACTGGATATGGCATGACAACATAAGGTGTAAGTAATAGGAATATACTTAAAAGTCTTCCTGGAAAATGGAATTAAAAGTTAAATTTAGGGCCCGGCGGCATGGCCCAGTGACTAAAGTCCTCACCTTGAACGTGCCAGGATCCCATATGGGCGCCGGTTCTGATCCTGGCAGCTCCACTTCCCATCCAGCTCCCTATTTGTGGCCTGGGAAAGCAGTCCAGAACAGCCCAAAGCCTTAGGACTCTGCACCCTTGTGGGAGACCTGGAGGAAGTTCCTGACTCCTGGTTTCGGATCGGCATAGCACCAGCAATTGCGCTCACTTGGGGAGTGAATTATCGGATAGAAGATCTTTCTATCTTTCCTCCTCTCTGTATATCTGACTTTCCAATAAAAATAAATAAAATCTTTTAATAAAAAAGTAAAATTTATTCATTTTGCTGCAAAATACTTTGAAATCCCATGTATAGGAGACACCTTCAAAAAGTTCACAAAGCGTCTGGCCTGATGGTTCAATGACTAAATCTTCACCTTGAATGTGCCAAAATCTCATGGGTACCAGTATGTGTCCCAGCTACTCCACTTCCCTTCCATCCAGCTCCCTGCTTGTGGCCTGGGAAAGCAGCAGAAGATCGCTCACAGCTTTAGGACCCTGCAACTGCATTGGAGACCTGTAAGAAGCTCCTGGCTCCTGAGTTCGGATCGGGGCAGCTCCAGCTGTTGCAGCCACTTGGGGAGTGAACCAGCTGATGGAAGATCTTTGTCTCTATCTCTGCTTCTTTCAGTGAAACTGCCTTTTCAATAAGCATGAATACATCTTAAAGTTCATTAAAACACTTATAAAAAATCTGTATAGATTTCAAACATTTTTATAATAAAAGTGAATGTAACTTTTAAAAATGTTTTTGACTTAAAAGAATGTCCAAAAGACAGAATGACACAGAAAGCTATATAGAGCATGAAATAGAAAGATCTTGAATCTGCTAGTTAGTTCACGCTCCCAAATTTCCACAACAGCTAGAAAGAACTGAGCTGGCCGAAGCCAGGAACTCTATCCGGGAGTGGGGAGTTCTCCCAGGTACTCAAGCCAGCATCTGTTTGCACCAAGTATGCATTAGTAGGAAACTGGATGGGAAACGGAAGCAGAACTCCACCCCTGGCATACTGATGTGGGATGTAGTTGTTCCAAGTGACAGCTTAATTTGCTGTCCCACAATGCCCACCCTGAAAAGAAACTCATCTTTTAATTCCATTTTCCATGAACTATTTAAAGTGACCTCATAGCTTTAAGTTTTTAAGAGAAGAAGTTCTTTCTGGGATGGGTAGGTCAGTACAAGGTTCACCCGGTAATTAGAGATTTCCTTTATAAACAAAAGCAAAGTTAGGAGATTAGAACCAACTAGTTAGAGACATAAAGGTGAGTCTTTGCTACCACAGACATGCACAGCAGGGTGGCTTTAGGTTGTAGGGTTTGGCCAAGGGAAGGGTTATAATAGATGGCCCTAAATCTTCCTGAGCCTTAAAGCCTTTGGGCAGAAGAGCATCATTATTTAATGTCTATCCGACACCCACCTGCTGCTTCTGCCTGTGCCTGTGGTTGAGACTTCAGTTGTTTCTACTGCCAACTGATCATCAAGATACCCCGAAAATTTTCTTTCTGCTGTCTAGAAGGGAAGATTTTCTTTTGGGTTGTTCTTCGTTTTGTGTGTGATATGACTTACATTTTAGGCAAGGATCCTACCCCACTCTGAATTTGATTGAAACCCAGGAGACAAATTTTGGTTCCATCGAGAGCAAGTACATCTCGCCCTCAAATGATGTTCCTTTCAGGTTCTCTATTTTTCATCTCACACACTTGCCCTCTGGGCTTATGTATTATTGTAAGTTATCTTTAATTCTCTGTCTAGAACAAGGTGGTGAATGAGTAAGAAGTGAAGCAGGAGTCTGTAAAGTGCCCAGCTCTCTGGCTGGACAGGCCACTGCTAGAGTTAGGAGGTGTGCGACAATGATAATGAGTGTTGTTAGGGCAGTCCTCCCATGATGACATGGAGGCAGACAGAGCTCTTGCCCAAAACCATAGGTCGCTCTGCTGTTTACTGCTCGGCGGTGTGAGGCATGCTATTCTCTAAACCTTAATTTTCCCCTCTCTTCGTGGAGACCTCTTTGTCTTGGGGGAATGGACTCAATGAGATAATACATATAAAGCACTGCACCACGCACTCCGTCCACATCAGCCAATGTGATTATAATCAGCCTCCCTTGGACAAAACCAAAGAGGGCAGCCTGGTCAGCTGGGCACCTTGGCATTGGAAGCCAGTTGCCCCCACCGCCCTTACCCCTCCTCCTTTGCCCTCAGGTGCCAGGCATCTGTCTCCCGATGCGGATCAGGCCTCCGGGCGCCCCTCCACCCCCACCGCCCGCCTTCAAGGCTCCCTGCACGCCTCTTCAGCCCAGTCTTGCTCACTGCCACCAGGAAACCCAAATGCGCAGATTAAGGCAACTAACTCCTCGCTGTGCCTCATTTCCTTACCCCGACCACGACCCCGCACTCGGATGGATAACTGCGAGAAAGGCCTGCGGGCGCGAACGGGTCCCAAAAGGCCCCCGAGGTGAGGCCCCCCGAGCTCTCGGCCCAGGTGGAGGCAGCCCGGCTCACAGCTGCTCAACCAAGCACCGGCTTGATGGGATAAGGAGAGGTTCCCCGCTCTCAGGCTCGGGTTGGCCTCCACCCTCTGGCAGGGAGAGGTCGGCGGCAGGCAGTGGGGGAGGAGAGAATGCAGGAGGTGCAGCTGAGGGCGCTGCGGAGTTCAGGGAGTTAAGGTGCCTGCGAGGAGCTGCAGGGCACTCGGCGCTTCCCCCAGCCGCAGCGTCAGGTGGTGCACCCAGCCAGGGAGCGTGCGCGCGCGGAGGGGGCGCGCTCGCACAAAGTTTGTGCCTGCGGGTGCGCCTCACTCCGGCTCGCCCGGCTCAGTGAGCGGCGGCCGGGGGGCGGCGAGGGCCCGCGGGAGAGGCCCGATGTGCCGCGAGTCGCCGTGCCAGGTGACCAGCTCCCGGAAGGCCGGTCGCGGCCATGGGCACTCTGGGCAAGGCGAGAGAGGCTCCGCGGTGAGTACTCGGCGGCAACGGCCGCCCTCGGAGTGCCAAGCTCCTTGCTTGGGTTACGGGCCACTGCGCAGGCCGCCCCTGGGATCCTCTCTTTGATGGCCTGATGGTGGGGTGGGGGTGAGGGCTGCAGGCGATGGTACTCCAGACTGGAGGATAGGGCCGGGGGTTGGGGAGGTTGTCTGCGGGAATCGGATCTTGGTTAAAAGTTGGGCGAGGAGAGCGCGCGAGGCAAACGCGCTCGAGGGCTTGGTGGTGGGGACCGCTGGGACTGTGAGGGCTTCGCGGCAGAGTTCGCTTGGCGTGACTTGAGCCCTTCACTCGCGCCCACCCGCTACCTCCCCAGGACCCGCCCGCCATGCACCTAGGGCTCCCACTCGCGGACTTTCCGCGCCTCCCGCACCTGCTGCTGCGAGCGCGCTGAGCCCCTGCAGCGCCCTCTGGCGCTCCCCCGGCAGCCCTGCCCAGACGCCTGACCGGGTTTGCGGCGAGCGCGCGCGCGCAGGTGGCACCACTTGAACGCCTTTGCCGGAGTCGGTTCCAGATCCGTAGGTCAGCGAACCATAGAACCTTCTGGGTGGAAACCCGCGCTCTTCTCCTCCCCCATTATGCATCTAGGGAGATGTTTACGGAGGATCTTCAGATCCAGAGGAAGGAAGAGTGCCGGTGAGGGAAAGGGCTCTTGGCAGGACGAACAGGTGGGGCAGAGGGACAGGCAACTTTGAGTTTATCCCCAGGGGACCAGAAGCAGGCAAGGAGCTGAACCCTGCCTGGCCTCGGCGAATGGCTGGGTGAGTGGTTCACTAAACACTGGGCCCCGCAGACTGGTGTGTTGCCGCCGTGCCCAGCCTGCACAGCCATACCCGCTGCAGGCAGGAAGCTGGGTGCGAGCCTTCTGTGCCCAGCTTCCCTGGCCCTTACCCCCGTGGCACAGCCAGAGGGCCTACCCTGTGCTCTGCACAAGGCTGAGTCTGATTTACACCGATAGGGGTGGAGAGGCCGAGTCTGGAAGGAATCCTCATTAGATGCTGATGGAAGTCACCTGCACTGCAGAGATGGCGGTGGAAGATCTAGTTCTCCCTTACTTTTCCAGGCTCAGCCTGGAGTGGGGCTCGCTCCGTAGACACCTGTGCGTGGAGAGAGGCTCTCCCCACAGTCCGGGTTTAACTGTAAGCAAACCCCATGGAGCTTGGCTGCCTTGAGACTCGAGAGACATTTTCAGGTGAATGTGTTTCTGGGAGGGAAGAGTTTCTTTTAGTTCACAAGGAGCCGTGCCAGGAAGGCTTTGGGTCCTATCCCTTGTAAACATGCCTTTGCAGACTTAGAGGCCTTTCCTCCTATGGGTTGTTAAAACACCCCCAGTTCCACCTGTTAAAGCATTTTGAAAGAGACAACGATTTGAAGAACTGTTACAAGGGAAGCAGACTGCACAGTTTATCCTGGTCTATGTAGGGGGTGAATAATGCCTGTCTTCCTAGACTTCTTGGGCCGCGGTTTGGTCTTTAGTTTTATTTTTCCTCTCCGTTGATTGTGCCTGAGCCAGCTGAGCCTCCTTGGCCACCGTACTTCCAAACCTGCAACTCTTTCCCAGCCCTAAATGTCTGCTTCTAGTTCATCCTTTCTACCCAGCTACACCCTTGCCTCTCCCAGCTCTGGTTTAAAAAAAAAAAAAAAGGCATCTCTTTCTGAGAATTGTCTTCTAAACCCAAGTGGGTTATACCAGGAAACACAACTAGAAGCAGGGCAGGGTCAGGGTCCCTGAGGGTGGCTGCCACCAACCAAGAGACAAAATGCATTTTTTTTCCTCCAGCGGTCTCCCCAGCCCCCACAGGAAGAGTTCTGCCTGTAAGTACAGCCTCTCAGTGTAGTGGCCTCCTTGGCTTCCAGGAAGAAGGAAAACCTGAGAGAAAGAGACACTTCTACAAGGAGTGACTTCGTTTCTGCTGGGTTTTGGATGGAGACCTTGGTGAGACAGCAAGCTGAGTAACCTGCAGTGCTGGCTGGGCAGCCGCGCTGTTGACATGGAGGGAAGGAAGCTCTGCCGTGGGGTACGATGTGGGCCACGGGATGCTGCTTCTGGCTTCTCTTCCAGTGGCCACTTGGCTGACCCCTCCAGGCCTGGTCTGTCCCATCTTGAGGTGAGGGGTGTGGAAAGTGACCACCAGAGTCCCCTAGATTGCTGGCATCCTGGTGGCAGTTAGGGGACCTGCAGAAGGAACCTGGGCTTAGTCCACCTTCTGGGATCAGCTCTGCTATTCAAGGATTTTCCATGGCTCTCCAGTGGTGCTGGCTGTTCAGCCTCCATGTCATGGTCTAGCCTTGCTGTACCCAGTGTCAGGCATACAGAATGTTTAGTAAATGAATGCAGCCAGAAAGACACTGGGTACAAATCCCAAGTCTAGCACAGAGAAGTACAACCTTGACTGTGTCTTTGAGCCTCTTGTAGTTCATGTCAGTATCGTGAAATGGATATCATAGCTTTGTGGGCTGCAGGCTCAGAGCTGGTGTAAGCTTGCAGCACACAGTCTGCTGTAACATCGGTACTTGGTTCATGGTGGCCGCTCTAATGCTCTCCGATGCTGATCTGATTCTGAGGCTGTCCCACAGCTTGGGTAGAAATCTCTCAGGGCCACAAACTTGAGTATTGTATTAGCAGCTTGGTGGTTCAGGAGGCCTTGTACTCACAGATTCCCAATAACTGGTGGTTGGTCAGATTCCATTGGTAGCACCCCAGGTTGGAGCAGAGCTCAGGGGCCACTGCAGGCCAGCGCCCCAGGAGAGGTGGGAAGCAAAAGCCAGGATTGGGGTGCTCCCTCTTGGCAATGGTCACCTGTGGAGGGGCCCATTGTTGAGTCTGGTTTTCCAAAACCTGTGTGTGTCTGGTGTCTGGCCTCTTGCTGTGCTATTAAGGAACTTCCAGGTTGCTTTTATATCACAACAGAAAATGAATAATGAATATGTTTTATAGTTTGCCAAAGTGCCTTCTCATAAACACTGTGATTCCTTCTGGCTCATCACAATGTCTTGATTAGAAACTAATGAATTGATGACATTTTCTGTTTGTTCAGTGAATAGCTGATACATGGAGTTAGAGTAGATTTCCTTTCTCTCCCATCCCCCTTCTTTAGCAGTCAACTATTAAATAGCCACAGCAGGAAGAAGAGAATAAAACACTACACTCAAAAGAAAAGTTACCAGTAACAGCACCCATCTCAGCTAAACTCTCAGAAATATAGACATGTGTTTGTGCTCTGTGTGTATACTTTTAAAATAGAGACCAAAATGAAATGCTTAGCCTTCACAAATCATTTTGTAAAATGACTAGTGCCAATGAGAGCATAACAAAAGATAAATGAAAGAGATGAAGGCCCTAAGCCATTGACTCCTAAGCCATTTCTAGATGGACCCAAACTTTTCCTTTTAATTCAGGCTCAGAGTTCTCATAGCTTTTTTTTTTTTCTTGTGTGATTATTTAAGGATCCAAGTAAGGACTGGATAAAATAGTGGTTAGTGATAAAATGACTCACTGTAGCTATATGATCACCAAGGAAAAACTGAATCTGAAAAGCCACCAAGATTTTAAGACTAAAGTCCAGACACCCTCAGGTTAACCTGAACCTCACTCCCTAGTGAGTCCCAGTGGGGCTTCAGTCTTTGACTTCTTTCCCAAGGGCCTTGAAGATGCTTCCAGTGCTGCCTGGCCTCCCATGGCAGATTTGGGCTTGTTTGAGATGAGTGAATTTAACTGAAGATGAGACCAAATTGAAATAGTTCTTAAGATCTTAAGCCAATGATCTGGCAGCTAAAATAAAAGGTCATTTGACGCTAAGGACTGCCAAACTATACTCCCTCCTCTACCTCTCTTCCTGGTGAACCATGGAGCCATCCTAATGCCAGGGCGAGGAGCCTGAGACGCAGCCCTGAAATCTCACCTTGTCATTTGCTGGGGAGATGTCTCTTTAACAGCCAACCAGTCTGTTTGGTGCATTAGCCAAGTGGGAGGGGTAGGTCTTCCTCTAGCCAGCTCCTGGGAATAATTGTCTTATCTGCACCCCTCTCCTCTCCCACCTGCCTTTCCAGCCCCAGGCTGCTCTGCGTGCCCTCACTGCCTTCTCTTTCTCCTCAGGAAACCTTCCAATGGCTGCAGAGCTGGCCCTAAAGCAAGACTAGAGGCCAAGCCAGCTGCCAACCCTCTGCCTTCCCATCCCAGCCTGGCCCAGATCACCCAATTCCGAATGATGGTTTCTCTGGGACACTTAGCCAAAGGAGCCAGCCTGGACGAGCTCATTGACAGCTGCATTCAATCTTTTGGTGAGTTGGCTAATTGCCCACCTACCTAAAAACTGCTACAGTATTTTGTTCTTCCTTCAAAAGTGCTTTAAAAATAGCTCGTGAGCCTTGGGCTTGTTGGAGACAGTCGGCAATGTCTGTGGCACATGACTGCGTGGGTGTAATAGGTCGTGATGAGAGGTGCGACTTAAAGTGAGAGAAGTTCCTGCGCGGAGTTTGCCTTTCCATTTGTCTTAGGATGGGGTTTTGCATGGTGACAGTAAGGATCATAAAACAACCCTGTGCATCTGGTGCTGCAGCGCTTGTCTGCCCTTGTATTCTTACAGCTTCTGAAGACAATACTATGTGAGCACACACTGCTGTGAGACAGAAATGAGAAAGTCCTCCCATTATTTTGACAATGATGTCAGTCTGGGGGGGTAGTTGTGTTGGGAGAGGGGAAGACTGTGTCAGGTCAGAGTGTTCCTAACTTAAAAGGTATTGTGTGGTGGTTAGTAGGTGGAGGAGCTGGAAAATACACCTGTGCATTATCTGTGCGCTCCCAGCACCTGTGCTCTCCAGGAAGGGTGCAGCCGAAAAGCAACGGTGTGGAGCTCTTTAAGTTCATCAGTCCTGTCTTTCTTTTGGCCATTGTTTGCAAAAGGATTGGAAAGTATTAGATGCATGCTTCTCTCCATTAAAAAAAAAATGATTACGATGGATGGATTTCAAAGAAATCTGTATTTAAGGATTTCCAGTGCCCCACTCCCCATGTACGCCTGTTTGAGTCCCACATGTCACAGTGACACAAGTGAACTTTCAGCTCTGCTCAGAAGCACCAGCCCCCGGTCCCTCGGCCCCCAGGCTTGGAAGCTGCAAGAGGCCTGGCCAGACCCCAGTCATACTAGATTTCTTAGATTCAGGACTTGGGATTGTTCAATGCTGGATGTGCTGTGTGCTTAATTTTAGAATCGGGAAAGACTTCACATCTTAGAAGTACCTAGTTTTTATGCTTTAATATATTGAATAATTCTGATTCTTGTAATATAGATCACTGGGCCCCACTGGGCCCCACTCCCAAAGTTTCTGCTTGATTGGTTCTGGGCAGGGCCCAATAATTCACATTCTAACAAGTTCCTAGGTGATTCTGCTGCTGATGCAAGAAACGTTGTTTGAGAATCATTGCTTTAATGCTCTGATTGTTGCAGACTGTTTAACTTGGTGAAGAGGGAGAATTTTTTGTTGAATGAAATATTATCTAGGTTTTATTTTTTTCCACATGAAAATTGAATTTATTTTTTTTAAACTTTAGAATTTGGTATAGAGTAGGATTTCCCCTCCCCAAACTCTCACCCCGACAGATTTTCCCCATGTTGCTACAATAGTATAGTCCTTCATAAAAAGAGGAAGAATTTTTTATTACTTGCTTAGTATTAATTCTCTATTTGAACATTAATCTTTTGTTAAGGATGAATTTGGGAGCAGAATAAAATAACTTTCTATTCCAAAACGATGTTTAGGCGTGCACACACAGGTAGATGAGCTAGAAGACAGTGAAGGCCAGTACAGCCAGGCCAGCGGTGATGAACATTTAATTGATCATGGTCTTCTGTGGGTGTCTGCTTTGCAACCTAAATTAACAGCAAAGTTCCTGACCGCAGTTTTTGGTAGTCATATTTATGGCCCATTTGCACAGCGCTGCAACTGGCTCATAAGAAGGAGCTTTTAATTTCTGTTTCACTCTTGAGACAACACGGATCTGAAATGTGTTTCTCACACCTCTCTTCCTCATGTTCTGATCATACAGAGCTAGGGCTGTATGAAGGCTGTTACTCTAACCTTTCAGTAATCATGGTATCACTCTGAAATATTTAACTGAAGCCCTTTCCCAGAATCGCCAAGCCTAATCTGCTCCCTTCGATAAATCCATGCAAGGGCAGTGCTGTGTTAGTTGTCTGGAATATGTTGAACTGGGAAAAAAAATCCCAAAGCCGGACCCAGTGGTAGCTTGGTACATCCTTGCCTCGCATCCACTGGGATCCCACATGGGCACTGGATTGTGTCCCAGCTGCTCCACTTCCCACCCAGCTCTCTGCTTGTGGCCTGGGAAGGCAGTAGAGGATAGTCCAAATTCTTGGGACCCTGCACCCATGTGGGAGACCTGGGGGAGGCTCCTGGCTTCTGATTGGATTGATTTGGCCCCAGCTGTTAGAGCGATTTGGGGAGTGAACCAGCGGACAGATCTTTGTCTCCCCTCTTTATAAATCTGTCTTTCCAATAAATGTCTTTTTTAAAAATTCCAAAGCTATAAGAATCTCATTGTTTCTAATTGTCTTCTATCCATTATCAAGATGCATTGATTAAACCTTTAATTGCATGTGACACTGTGCTAGCCATTAGAGCAGGGGAATCAAGGACCCAATGTGTATACCATTAAAGATCATAATACGTGAGAAATGCCTGAGAAAATATAGGGAGAGAGGACAGGGCAGTAATTAATGAAGGTAAGCAGGAAGAGTAAATTCTTTATACCATGGAGAGTTCCAGTAGGTCCAGCACATGCAAAGACCCCGATTGAGAACAGCACTGCTACTTTTCTCCAGTCGTGGGGCTGCTGCAGGAAGGCAAAGTCTCAGGGTTTGTGTGTTAGGCAGTGCAGAATTCTCGCTGATTTCACCAGAAAGAAGCAAAGGGAAAGACGCTCTGTGTCCAGAGGAACTGGGAGACAGCACCTTTCTTCTGTGGTTGTAACCCTCTGCTTCTCTCATGTTGACTCTGATCTGCTGGCCAGTGTCGGGGCTGGGAGTCAGCCGGTGTGCTCTGGTGTTTCTATGAGATCCTGAAGAGGTGATCTGAGGATACGCATGAAGAGACAAAGGGTCCCTCTGATCCTTGATGAACTGGTTGGTTCTTTCTCAGATTTGTATAGAAAAGTTACTTTTAAATACTACGAGTTAGGGATAGGCATTGCATTGCACAGCAAATTGAACCCCCTCTTGCGACACCAGCATTCTGTATATGTGAGTTCAAGTCCCAGCTGCTCTATTTCCAATCCAGCCCCCTACTAAAGAACCTGGGAGAGCAATGGAAGGTGGCCCAAGTCTTGGGGCCCTGCGACCCATGTTGGAGACTCAGATGGAGTTCCAGGCTCCTGACTTTGCCTGGCCCTGCACTGTTAGTCACTTGGGGACTAGACTGTGGATTGAAGATTTCTCTTTTCATTTCTGTAACTCTGCCTTCCAAATAAGTCTTAGAAGAAAGAAAAGATTAGAAAAATCAGCTTAGCTTTTTGCTAATGAGGTTAGCTGTCTTCTCATTTTAATATCTATCAAAGAGAGGGAAATGCTGCAGAAATATGGGTGATAATAAGTTTTATTACTACTTGTAATTTCTTTCTTCAGACTTGATTTTAGCTTCTCCCATCAATATGGGATAAATGTATTGAAGGTAAAGAATAACAATTCATATTCTGCTGCCTTTTCTACCTTACCATGTAGAGGCTTTAGGAGGTTTGCATTGTCTAGAACTGCACTGCCCAGTATAGCAACATGTAGCCAGCCACATTTGGCTATTTTCATATACATTTTAAAAATTATTTTCACTCGAAATTCTGATTTACAGCAAGAGGAAAGAGAGGTCTTGTATCTACTGGTTCAGTTCTCAAATAGTCACAATGGCCAGAGTTGAGCTAATACAAAGCCAGGAGCTAGAAGCTTCTTCTGGGTCTCCTGTGTGGATGCAGTGGCCCAAGGAGTTGGGGTATACCTCTGCTATTTTACCATGTTATCAGCAGGAGACTGGATCAAAAATAGAGTAACTGGGACACAAACTTTCTATTTGGGATACTGGTGTTGCAAGGTAGAGGATTAGCCTGTTGAGCCACAGTGCCAGCCCCTTTCATATTCCTTCCAGTGAATGAAAATTGAGTGTAAAAGTTAATCCCTATGCCTTGCCAGCCATACTTGAAGTGCTCAGTAGCCACAAGAGGCTAGTTATTGCTGAACACAGTAAACAATGCTTTTATTGTCCGTACGTTGGGCAGTTCTGGAGAGGATGGTTGGCTTGAAGAAAATAATCAATAGGCTTTTTGGTAACAGTGGGTTTTGAATTTAGCTAACATTCAGAGGTAAGAGTGAATCCTATTGAAGGCATAATGGACCTGCAGAAGTCTCTACTGATGGCTGTCTTGTTAACATCATTAACCTGTAATTACCACCCACACTGTTCCCAGAGTAAGGCGTTAGAGTACTGTACTGTTCAGGATCTGGAGTTTGTACATACAAGGTACAAGTACTTTAGAAGATCTAGCAAGGCTCCCAATGTCACGTGCAAGGAGATAGATCCGTGGTTAGAAACTCAGAGCCTTGAGTCATAGTTCATTACCTGAACCATGAAGCAGCCCACTCCCACCTTCTGCTTTGATCAGAGGTCATGCTCAACATTCTCAGAACATTGCTGCTGGAGAGTGGACTCTTCAGCTAAGCTAATGAGGTAGATCATCCCAACCTGGTCAGATGCATGTGAATCACACCTTCTATTTCATGGCAGGGCAAACCTGTGAGATCTTCTGGGTTTTTCACTTCGTAAGAGGGCTGCCATCACTGGGAACTCAAGTGGAGACCGCAAACATTGAAAGAAGGTCCTTTTTCTGGTCCTTGCTCAAAGCCAGAATGTTGTGGGCCAGGGAGTTGATTAGTGCTCATTGGGCTGAGCAGGAACAGGAACTGGATTTGTGGCTAAAAACACCTAGACTAATTGGACTCATCTGTATCCAATATCCTGCTAAATGAGGATGTGGGGGGAGAGTATATGAGGAGAGGTGAAGGAGCAAAAAAGGGGGACTTTGCAGAGACTTCCACCATCACTGGTCTCCTGTTGGTGCTTCATCCCCAGACCCTCTCCATGTCCACGTTACTGGCTCAGCTGGCCGGAGCACCAGAGAATTTCAGATGGCATCAGAGCAAAGCAGTGAGAGGTGCGCTGGGAAGCCCACTCTGCCAACATCCCTCCTTGCCCCCAGGTGGGGTGTAGATGGAGACCTA